AATGCTTAGCAAATGCCGATAGTTATCGTAAAGCTCCCGCCCTTTTTGTTCCACAATTGGATCTACATAAAGCTTGTCATTCCCGGGGTTACAAATTAGACCTTGAAAATGTATCATATAAAAAATAATCTTAAAATTGGCATATTGATTCTCACACATATATAAAGACCTGCAGATCTTAAAATTTTAGTTCGCTCCGTTTAAATAGTGGGGTGAGAGGGGGGGGGGGGTGAGGGATATAAAAAGTTTTAGATGGGCAAAAACAAATATCTTTTGATTATAAACTTAATTTTTTAGTATAAGTGTGCGGGAAGGCAGGATTGTAAAATTATTGTAAATTAAATTCAATATGAGTATTAAATGAGAAATTTAAATATCATTTTGCTGCAATGATAGTATTATTCCGGATTTAGTCTGGAGGGCCGGTTTATAACATAAAAATTGAATATGGATAATAAATGAAAGATAGTTTAAAAAGTTTTTTTGTAGTGTTAATTATCATAAATCGCCTTAAGAAGTTAGGCTAGTTTTCGAAAAAGGGATATTAAATGAAAGCTAATATAATTATGTAGACTTAAAACTAAATGAGCGGGTCTAGGTATAAGGAAATTTTTTGTTGAATTTTCATAAAAGTTTAATATGGCTGTATGACATGAGAAAATTTATAATATCATTTTAATTAGTAAAGTCATTTTAAACTAATTAAAAGCTATGAATCTATAAATTTTGAATGGAGTTTTGCAGAAATTTTAAGATTTAAAAAATATTATAGACATATTTGATACAAATGTGAGCAGATCTTTTTACCATTATGTTGTAACCTGGCCTTAGGACCGAGATAGGATTTTTTTTAAAATTTTGGGCTGGGATATTATTATATTATGTCAAATAAATTGACATATTTTAAAATTATTAAGCGAAACAAAGCACTAATATTTTTTTATTTGTAGAATATTTTTACAATAAAATAAAATTAAATATTTATTTATTTAAACAAATTCTGGCCTGGCCATAATCAGATCACTAATAAACATTACAATACCAATCGATATAAATATTATTGTATTTTATATTCAAAACACTCCATGGATAAAACTTCCAAATTATCTTAAAAATAAAATAAAATTATACACTAAATTTTAAATCTTTTTATATTTCCATAAATAAAGATCACTTCCTTCGGAAATAGAACAATATTGCTATAATTTGCAAAATTTTATCCATTTTAGATTTTTTTTTCGAGTTATGCTAAAAATAATTTTAAAAAAATATAAAATGTTTTCCAGAAAGAGTCAAGACTCAAATAGCAAGATAAATCTTTAAAATCAATGTCCCTATATTCATTACAATAATTATCAATAAAATAAAATGCTTTTAATAAAATGATCTAAAAAACATATAATTCAAACTAGATTTTAAAATATTTACTGATTGTTAAAACACTCTTTTTCTATCACCAGAGTAACTGCACTGATTTAAAATGTATTACGATTGGGGGGTTGGATCGCCACATACCGGAACTCTTAGATTTTGTGCCTTGTAATCAATTGTGCAATAAGTTATCGAGTTCCCAAACTGGAGCAGTAATATATATATATATAATATATTATATTTAATGCGAGCAATAAGTCATGGGGTATATTGATAGATCAATATCTTAGTCAATTCCTAGTTTTAATTTAAATTGTCTTAATTTTTATACAATATATATTTTATTGATACTGGGATAGATTATCAACAAATTTACCTTTAATAAAGGCTATCAGCCAATCATTGTGCTGTTTAAACCTTCTTTTTTTTACATTTTATTAATGAGTTTTTGGGAAAAACGTTTTTTTAACATGGTGTAGATATTACCTTATAAATTTCTAACAATTTTGTAAGATATTATACATAATGATAGATAATAGGCATATTATATAAATGATTACGTGAATTGACTATAATGTAACATAATCGGTACATCCTTCCCCATGAGCAGATTATATAAATAATTGAATAATTTTGTTTTAAAAATTATATTTTATCTTTGGTTTACAGTCAACTGATATCAGATGCAAAAATTATAATGAATGACACTAACATGTATAAGGCATCAGAGGAAATCCATTATAAATGTGGCAAATGGAATTAAGAGAATATATAAATTCGTACAATTTTTAGACACGTTGATATTACATAATTTGTATTGCCACAAAACATAATCTAATTGTATATTAGATTTGCCACTAGTATTCAATCTTAAAAAAAATATTGCGACAATAAATTGCCTCCATCTTTAATTCATAAAATAAATATTTTATTACTTTTGCTCGGGAAATTTAGATATGAATTAATTATCTTATAAAATATTAATATATTTAAAAAAATTATATAAATTCTCAAAATATTCATTACAATTTATAACTGATTATTGATTATTAAATTTAGATGATATAGTATTCTTAGCTATTCATGCCTGGGGACTAAAGTTCCTTAGCCTGATATTGTTTAATAGAAGATTGTACTCGCCTTATTATTTTTTTTGATTATAGCATTGCCTTGTAGATGTATACGTCCTACCTTAACCTTCAGTGCAAATTAAACATTGTTGTTATATTTATGATAAATTTTAATATTCTAAAATAGTTTTATCTATTTTACTTATTAAATAGCAAGTCGAATCCACTTTATATTTAAAATATTGGTCCAAATCATAATTATATATCAAGCTAATTATCTTTATTATATATAATACAAGGGTTTGATGATTATATTTATATTTTCGATAAAGGCCAAAGCATTTCATATAGTTCTTTTTAATATACAAAAGATGTGCTACAATGGAACATGCATTTTAAAAGGGGATTTCCAAGAGAAGGCCGGTTTATGGAGTTCTTGGTCTTCTTGGTCACAATGTCGAGGAGATGATACAATAGGTTATTCTGAAAGGACTAGAAAGTGCAACAATCCGAGGTATTAATAGGATTATTTGAAATCAACTTTATATATAAAAAAATATACTTGGAATTATGAAAGGTAGACTTGGATTTTTCTATTTATTTTATATATTCTTACTGTAAATCAAAAATTATTCCTCTTCCAATTTGAACCGTATTTAATAATCATATAAGTTGCGAATACATGACCTAAACTAGTAACCTGTGAATTATTATGGATCATCAGATTGATAAAGTATTCAACAAGAAGTTAGAAAATCCCAGAGAGGAAACCTTTGCACAATTAATAACGCAAATTTACGTTACTATTATCCATGGTGAGGTCATACTCTACATCCCAACATAAATTTAAATGCAGAAGATGTATAAAAACTTAGTATTATAATTATATATTCCAACAATTTATTAATAAACCTAATCTTTTACCAGAATGACAGGGAATTAAATATAATATATATCCATACAAACTATACATTTAACATAATATATATAAGTATACTTTCTAAGTTTTTTCTCCGTAAAGTTTATTATAATGAACTAAATTTCTCTTTTAAATTACATTATTACTATCTTATATTTCTAAGGCCTAAGTTTGGTGGACGCTATTGCCAAGGTGGCAAAATAGAATATGAAGTTTGCAAAAATGCGGTAATATTTAGCCAATATTTTATATTTTAATTGATTTAGTAAATATTTTCTATAAATTTAGTTTAGCAGAAATGATAAAAATAATAAAGCTCTTTGTAAGAAGTATGACAATTCTTCAATTTATACAGAATTTGGTATATTATTGTTATTATTTTGATCATCTAACTTTCAATTTCTTTTTATGTTTTACTAACTGTTTACATAATAATTAATACATAATATAGCTGATGAACCATGTGTTCTATATTGCTATGTTAAGCAGAGAAATACCTATGCGAATATTGGGAGAGCTGTGGATGGAACTATTGCTAGAATGGAAAACTCTTTAGATATGTGTTTAAATGGCGCTATTATAGTCAGTTTAAATTTGATATATATTAACCTTATTGATTAATATATTATAAGTCAAATCGATAATGATTATTTTATTTCATATCAATTTTATTATAAATATTTTTTTTCTTATTAATTCATTTTTCATGCATAATATGTATTTATTTTAGAAATGAGTATTTATTATATTTTTTTTGACGTTCCTAATAGCATTTGGTTACACTGATAAGTTAATTTGCCTAAAACTATATATTATAATCACCTAACACTATTATAACTAGCTTAATTACTCTTTTAATATTTACATGATAGTTAAATTATGTCAATTTAATGGAGACAATGTATATTAAAGGACTTTCTTAATTTTAAGGAAAAAAATATAATCACATTTATATATAACTTTGATATTTACAAGACATCTTTTAAGTTCATTGAAATTGTTTCTAAAGTAAAGCTTATGTAAAATTAAATTATGTAAAATAAATTACATCGATAGTTAATAAATATTTTACAATACAACAGAATCAATTTATAACATTAAAATTTATTATACATGCCTGCTATGGAATAATTTAGAAAATATGCAAGATTTAAACTCATTGGTTCGTTTACCGTATACGTTAAGCTTTCTATAAAAGCTTAAATATTATTAGTATATTCACAAAACTTTAAATAATTTTCAATTTGAATTATTTGTCTTTTTTAAATTCTTAATTCCTTAAAATATACTTGCACATTCTATATTAATTCATTTTATTAGTGGAAATATCGATAATAAAAAATATGATTTGATAACTTTTTTCCCGTTCAATTGTTACTTTATTTGATTAATTGTAACTAATATAATATATACAAAAAAAAGGAAAAGCATTTTCTAAGACAAAATTAATATTCGCTGAACAAAAGCATAAAGATTTTAAAACACAGCTAAAAAATGAAAATAGTAAAGAGAAACTAGGAATGTTAAAAAGGGAAAGAAAGTATAAGGATTATTCGATAGAAGAAATTATAGAGTGTTAGAACAAATAATAGCGGTAGCAAGCCTTTGTCATGAAAAAGAGATTCCTTAGGCTGTCAGTCTTTGCGCGAATTCGCCTCCTCAATTCTTTAAAAAAGCATTGAGCTTTACCGCCGAAAGTGTTAACATACGAGGTAGCAGGCGATGATCATGAATTTTCAAGTGAAATCGATGGAGCTATATTTGGTAATTTACCGAGTGTCTGCGAGGGTGAGAGCATCGACGTTGTGGTTGTATGGTGCATTTTGATGCAGATGAAGTCCCAAAAAAGGACTTTTTAAGCGTATTTAAGTTCACGCAAAGAGCTATATTTTAAAATATATCTTCAAAATGTTAATATAGGAAATCACAAAGATTTATTTTAAAACTTTGATAATAATAAGCATGCATTTATAATTTAAATAAATTAACATTTTAAACTTTATTAAAAATATGTATAAAATAATTTTTTCGAATTAGATATAACCAAGTACTTCATAATTCCTTAAAGAATTTTTGCGTGCTTTAAAACTAATATATTTTTATAAATTTTAATTTATTGATATTACAAATATTAATTGTAAATTTATTTTTATTAGCCTATAGGTTGTGATAACCAGTTATCTTCAACGGCTAAATTTGACAAATGTGGAACATGTAAAGGGGATAATTCTCAATGTATTCCCTTTGAAGAAGAAAAAGGAATTACTTTAACTAATCGTAAGATACTATTTTCAATAATTTTAAAACCCATGCTTAACAATAAAAGCATTTTTTTCCCAGTTACAATTTTTTTCCTTTATTTACCTCTTTCTCCTTCCCTTCACTTTAAAAATATCTAGTTAAATCTCATTAAATTGTCTTCAGAAAAATTATTTTCGATGATTGAATGTCAAACGTGCTTAATATTATTATATTTTAATTCATTCTCTCCAAATCCTTATAAATATTATATTAAACATCCATTTTAAATAGTTTCAAAGTTATTTTTATTAATAGCCAAATAGTTTTGATATTTTTACTTAGTTTAAATTTAATAATTCAGATATGACTGATATTGCAAATTTGAATCAAACCATAAAGGTTTTATATTTCAAACTCAAGCTAAGATATTATAGAGGATATCCCGAACCAGCAAATAGTATTGGTAATAATTATATATCACTAGAATTCCTCATTTAAAGAATCTATGATATAGTGACTATAATTTTATTTAGTCGCCAGATTTTAAATTGTTTTTTTCAGTAACCTCTTATTTTTTAACTATATTACATGAAATTTTATTAAATCATTTTTAAGGTATTAACTAATAATTATAGCACTTAAATTTTTTTTTAAATATATTACTATTTGAAAATAAGTTTACACAAATATAATTATATAAAATCTTTAATTATTTCATATTTCAAAAAATAATACTATTCTTCTTTTTGTTACAAATAAACTAATAAATGTTTTATTTTATATAATTCATGCATAGTTTTAATCCGAAATGGAGTGAAATTCATGGGAACTCAGATAAAGAAGCTTAATGATATAACCTATAAAATGTATAGAGGTAACGAAATCATAAGTTCGGAAAAGTTATCAGAGCCCTTAATAATTCAAGTTATTTATTTTATATATAGATATTTTATTACAATTAATTCAAAAAAGTTTATTATGCTAATTTGCTATCTCTTGGATTGTTCATATATAAAACAAATTATTTATGTTATATTCCCATTTAACATTTTTCTTATTGGCCACACACTTAATAAATTGTTAATTAATATCCAAAAAAATTATTTAATTTTCCACCTTTGACATTACAACTAAAATTATTACACGTTTAATAGAGTAATTGAAATGAAAAATTTTTTTTTAGTTCAGAATGATGAAAGATAAAGATAGTAATACTATAACTTGATACATGGGTCTTTCCAGGATCCTAAATATTGGTTTTATAGGTGTTAACTACTTTTCTATTAAATTTATGTTCTTGATCGGATTACACTTATCTATAAGATATTTAAAATTGATGGAGGACCCCAATCCTCCCCTTTCTTCATAGAAAATCCTTATGACATACTATATCCTTAATGAATATTATATATTAATACTTTTTTAAAAATGTATCATATTATATGACAGATTAAAAAGAATGTACAATTTATTATCACGGTAGATTACAGATTGAAATACGCTAATCCAAAAAATTGATTTCTTCTTAATTTATTAACTGACTTTGTCAATTAAATTAATTTATTCATTATTAACAAATATAGTATTGGTATACATATATCCTTTAGTTTATATAATTATATTATATTATAATACTTTGTGATTATTCTTTCGTTTTTTAAAAATATAATTTGTTATGTTTTTATTTTTCATGTTAATTGCAATGCTATTCGCTAGAAGTGTAAACTTAAAAAAATATAAGCTTGAGATAGAAGACTATATAATAATTTAATAGTTATATATTAGCATATTTATTATTCCTATTTGAAAAAATGTGGAATATAATTTATAAACATATAAATGAGATAGGGAAGATTTCATCTTCAAACAATTTGCTTGGGTTTGGCATATATGATTTTATTAATTTAATATCTTAAAAAAATTATTATTTTTTTAAGATAATTTTTGATCATTCAATAAATTAGGCATCACGCGATGGTAGGTCATTATATCCTATCTACGTACTAAATTTTTGGCGATCTTTTGAATAGGCCTTTTTTATTTGCGATGTACTAAATATAAAACGTAGGGTGCAATTATGAGGGGTTTGAATAAGGAAATAGCGAATCTAGGAAATTCAGGATGATGAGCCAAAATTAAAAATAATTTCAAGATCACCTTTATTTTTTAGGGGAAACCTGCCTTCTTGGATAATCTATTTTTCAGAGATTAGTTTAAATAAGTTTTTTTATATAAAGACTAGTCGAATTCTCTTGATGTAAAGAAGTGGCATTCTCTTCACTTCTCTTATGGCAACCCTTTTACCAAACATCTCCTTACATTTTGTCGATTCTTTTGTTTTAATCTATCCCCATCTTGTCCATTGTTTTGTTTTCACATATATAAATCATCTCCTTCTATTCTGTTGATTCTTTTGTTCTAAACAATTATTCCAATTTATTCACCCTCTTTCTTTAGATTCTACTTTTCTATTCTCTCCTGTAATAATTGTTTTTTATATGCAAAATTGTGTTTAATTTTCATAATTATGTGTAATTGAAGTTTTTTTGTATGAATTGTTATTAAGATTATAATCTGTATATTATTTTATAATTGTTTGTAATTAAAATTTATTTGTGTAAATTGATATAAAGATTATAATAATAGGATGTACACAGCGGATTTAGTTTCATATTTTCGATTCTCTTTCGACTATATCTTTTGTGTTATTTATTATTTTATCCTTCTATCTTACTTTTCTTTAATGATCGGAGTTACCTCTGTTCACACACTTTTTCGTCCTCTTTTATTTCTCTAATTCCATTGAATCCTTATCTATCCCCCATATATTTTCCTTTTTTTAATTACTCCTAGTTCTTCTCTCCTCTCTAACCTTAAATATTTTCTCTCATACTCTGAATAGAATGTTACCTGTCTTATTCGATTTGAACACTTTGAATTGAATACTCTATACAAATTATTCGACAAAATGTATTATTATATAACATTCAATTCGAGTATTGTATTTATGAATTCTCTATTTTATAATTTGTCTTCTACCATCATACTAATATTTATATACACATAACTTCGGATCGAATACGAATTTAATTTTTTTGTAATTCGCAATCGGCCTCACTATTTAATTTGACTTCTAGTTTTCTTCTCATATAAGTAAGCTAAAATAAAAATGAGAAAATCAAAGATGGAACAAAAAATAGTTAGAATGAGATTGTATTAATACTTAGTTGATACGTTTCGTGAGTGAATGCAGAGATAATAAATATAAAAGATATGATCTTAATGAGGAAAAAGAAAGGAACATAGGAGGTAAAACATGATTAAGATTGCATAGTAAAAAATATAGTTAAAATTTTGTATAAACGAATATAAAAATTTATATTATGAAATATGAATTTTTCTTTAAATTAAAATATTATTTTAATAAACACATATTTTTTTAAAAAAATGGAAGAAAATATAAATTAAATAAAGATTACAAAACCTACCCATTGTAGAATAAAACCTCCAAAATTGGCTATATCAAAATATTGGTAAACTCGAAATGGTTACCATTTAAGTGTGGACCTTTAAAGATTAGTCTTAAAATAAACATTCCATAAAATTTTTTTTTCAATTTATACTTTTATTGCATTTTAAAAATTATAATAACTATTTTAAAAAAATTTATAAAATTATTAAATAAAAATAAATATATATAAGTATCGAAGGCTCTAAAAAGAGCTTAATTTAGTAATGAGTGTGTTCCTAAAGAACAAATATAATTATGTTTAAAAATTTCAAGTTGAAGGTTTTTGTTTGAGAAATATAGATTCGCGTTATTCGTTTGTTATTTTAATAGATTTTGAAAAAATATTGTTTCAAAATGAGAATTTAACCAGAAATAAACAGATGATTGAAAAATTAGATGAATAAGGTGTAGGGTTTATATAGATTGGTTAGCATAATTACTTAAAAAAATTCCTATATAACTGAGGAGCCTTAAAATAACCAGCCTTTCAAGGACTATTGATTTTAATAAGAATGTATAAATTTTTTTTGTTAATCTTAAAAATATTTTGGATGCTACTAGACTATCAAAGATCTTTAAATTTATGTAAAGCATATAAGAAATGAATATTTATTAAAATGTCAGATAAACATCTTAAACATACAAAAGATAGAAAAGTCCTAATTATATTGGATAATCACCTTTCTCACCAATCCATAAGAGCTATTGACTTTTGTTTGAAGTAAGGGATAATATTTAACTCTCCCACTATATTGTACCCATAAACTTTGGATAAAACACTGTTTGTCCCATTAAAGAGATAATATAACTCTTCAATTGACTCGTGGATGAGAACTAATTATGGCAAACATTTTACAATCTATACCAGGTATAGTCAAGGATATTTTTCCTAGCTACAGTTCAAAATGGTTTTAAATCATGTGGAATTTGGCTATATAATCCTATAATTTTTAATGATGAAATTTTAATACATTCATAAATAATTTATCCAATACTTTAAATTATGAGGAAACTAATGATAATAATAAAAATGTTAATTTTGAGAATAATTATAGTTATGATATCTCATTGAGAATTAGACAAGATGAGTCTGAAGTCAACCATTCTTATTCAAATGAAAGAAAAACCTCTAAAAAATTTGATACAGAATCAATTTTTCCATGCCCAACATTTTATAAAAAGCCTAGAAGAAAAAATAAAATTCTGATATTTTAATTTCTTCGCCATATAAAAAAAAGCTATGGATAGAGAAAATAAAAGAAAAAATCAAAAAATGTTACTAAAATACACAAGTGCGCAAAAAAAATATTAATCATAACAATTAAGACTGGTTTCAAAGTCATAAATGTAGTTATTGGTCACATGGAAGCTGTTGCAATTTTAACCCTTTTTTATTTGCAAAGATTGTGAATAATGTTTCCATTTTTTTGTTTATAATAGTACTTTTATGCTTTAAATTATTAAATATGTTTAAAAAAATATATACTTTTATGTGGGAAATTAAGTAGAGCTTATAACAACCTCGGGCAAAGGCTCGATCGTCCCCGTGTAGGGGTTCACTCATTCCGCCTCAAAAAGTACCAGAAAAAATAAAATTTTGAAAAAAGTGTTAAATATATATTTTTAAAATTTAAACCTACTAAACTAATAAAGCTCAACAAAATGAGATTTTTTTGTTAAAATTGATAAAGTAGTTTTAATTTTATTAAAGTTTGCTTTTTAAGGGTTCGCCATAACCCCGGTCTCCCCTATTATATTTATCAAAATATATCAAATTTAACTGAATATAATATCGCCGTTAAAAAACATATCCATAGAGTTTTCCATTCTAACAATAGTTCCATCCACAGCTTTCCCAATATTCGCTACACTATTATTATGCTTAAAATAGCAATATAGAAAACATGGTTTATTATCTATATTATGTTAGTAAAAAATAAAAATAAATTGATAGATGATCAAAATAATAACAATTATGTACCTAATTCTGTATAAATTGAAGAATTATCATATTCCGTACACAGAGCTTGATTTTTTTTATTATTTTTGCTAAACTAAATTAAAATAGAAAATATTTATTAAATTAATTAAAATATAAAATATTGGATAAATATTACCGCATTTTGGCAGACTTCATATTTTATTTTGGCACCTTGGCAGTAACGCCCACCGAACTTTGGCCTTAGAAATATAAGATAAAAATAATGTTTTAAAAGAGAAATTTAGTTTATTTTGAAAAAATTATAAGGGGGAAAAAACTTAGAAAGTATACTTATATATTTTTTATAATAAATGAATAGTTTATATGGGTATATAGTATATCAAATCTTCATTCAATTCCTGTCATTTTAATAAACCGTGTAATCTATGAGGTGTATAAATTGTTTGGATATATAATTGTAATACAAAGTTTCTCTGCAATTAAATTTATGTTGGGGGGGGGGGGGGGGGGGGGTGTAGAGTATGAGGTCACAATGGAAATTATTAACGTAAATTTGCATTCAAATTGTGTAAAGGTTTCCAATCAAGTATTTTCTAAATACTTGTTGGATACTTTATCATTTTTGATAATCTATAATAATTCGCAGGTAACTAGATTAGGATATGTTCAAAAACTAAATTATTTTGTCCAAGATCTCGAGAATTTTTGATTTCCAGTAAGATTTTATAAAATAAATAGAAGTCCAAGTCTACCTTTCCTATTCCAATACCTTTTTATGTTAAAAAAATATAAGAACAATGGTCAGCCTTCTCTAAAGTTTCAGATAATATTATCAACATTATATTTTTTATTATATATATATATATATAAAGTTAATTTCAAAAAATTTTATTAATACCACGGATTGTTGCACTTTCTAGTTCTTTGGGCAAAACCTATTGTATCATCTCCTTGACATTTTGACAAAGACGACCAAGAACTCCATGAACCGGCTTTTCCTTGATTTTTTTTTTCAGGAATGCACTTTCCCTTGTAGCATATCTTTTGTAAAGAAAATAGATTATAAGCATTTACTAAATAAAATGCATTGCTTTTATCTAAAATAAAAACATGATGTAACCCTTGTATCACATTTAATAAAGATATTTAGCTTGATATACACTCGATTTAGACGAATATTTTTAATAAAGAGTATTTGACTTGTTATTTGATAAGAAAAATTGATAAAACTATTTTATAATAATTAAAATTTTTATCAATAATAAAGCAACAATTTTTAATTCACATTGAATGAGGTGGGGCATATACATCGACAAGACATAGAATGCTATAATCAAATAAATTAATAAGGCGAGTACAATCTTCCATCTTTGATTAAACAATAATAGACTCATGAAATTACTAATCCACAGGCATGCGTAGATAAAGGATAGTATTATATCATCCCAACTTAATAATCAATAATCAGTTATTAAACATTTTATATAGAGAATTTACTATATAATTGTTTTTTTAAATATATTAATATTTAAATGTATCTATCAAAAGTATCAAAATGTTTAATATTTTTTAAAATTTCGATTAAAGATGGAGACAATTTATTGTCGCAATGTTTTTTAACCTAAATAATTACTAGTGACATATAAGGTAAGGATATGTTTTGTTGTAATACAAAATAATTCGTATATTAACTTATCTAAAAATTATATTTATTTCTATATTATTAATTCCATTTCCCTCATTTTTATCAGATTTCCTCTGATGCCTTATACATGTTAGTGTTATTCGATATTATAATTTTTGCATCTGATATCAGTTGACTGTAAACCAAATAGATAAAATTTAATTTTTAAAATAAATTGAATTATTTATATAATATGTTCTTGAGGAAAATTACTCGGATGCACCTATGATGTTACAGTATAGTCAATTCACGTAATCATTCATACAATATGACTTTTATCTTTTAATATCCTATAAAATTGTTAGAGTTAGAGGACCTTTATTTTATTCCTAAAGTATAACATCATGATTTTAAAAATAATCACCAAAAAGTTGTAGGCAAATTATATATCATTAAAATTAATAAAAATAATCCATGAATGAATGCCATGAAATGTCTTTTCTGCTTTTACTAAACGTCACAAATATATGTCAGGTAGATATTCTACAACATGTTAAAATAGATTTTCCTTCAAAACCTCAAACGTATAAAAAAAGCTTAAAAAACATATTAAATTGCTGATAGCGTTTTTTAAATGCCCAAAAATGTAAATTTGCAAATAACATATCTTAGTATTAATACAATATATATTGTATAAAAATTAAGACAATTTGAACTCAAACTTAGATTTAAGATATTAATATTATAACTTATTGCTCTCATTAAATGTAACATGATATACTTTAAATTGTGTTTATAGAATAAAATATTATAAAGAAGAAGAAAAAATAATATGATATAAAATATACTGATTTAGTTTTGGAACTCGATAACTTGTTGCTCAATGGATTACAAGGCACGAAATTTAAAAGTTCCCATATTTCGCGATAAAACCTCGTCGAAGTACATCTTAAATAAGTGCAGTTACTCTGGTGATTGAAAAACAATGTAATAACACAATATTTTTTGAATTATACATAAAAATTAAGAACCTTTCATTTTTTTAAGATTTTTTTTTTAAATGGTACTTTTTTTTATTGATAATTATGGTAATGAATAGAGACATTGATTTTAAAGATTTATCATGTTATTAGAGTTATGCCTCTTTCTGGGAAAATTTGCACTTTAGATTTTTTTTAAGCTATTTTTTAAGATTCTTAGGTTATTCA